AATATAATGCGTAAGCAGAAAAAAATATTAACCTGAAAAGGGTAGTTCTGCCAACACTCTCTGGTATCCCACATCCACGATGTCTGAAGGAAACAGATTACAAAAACATGCATTATACTGTTGCAGGTTCACCTATTACGAGCCAACGATAAGAACCGCTTCCGTGAACCGTAATAGTATTGCAGAGGGAAAAAAGTACATTTTAAACTTACCGACCACAGATGGTTGATGCCATAAATAAAAATCGCCAGGTAAAAAGTGAAACGCCACCTGAAAGGAAAGAGAAGAATAGAAAGACGAATTTAGCATACACCGGAGGCACTTACATACATAAGCACACTCCCAGTGATCATTTTAACATTTACTAAGTAGCACTTAGACTGGCATCTGTAAGGTTTCAAAACCAAAATACTTGGCCTATTTACATTTTTACTTGATGAGTGTATCAAAAGTGATCACCAAGATGGTTAAAATACATTTTTAAGAGATATTTTCACTAAATATTATGGCAACCCATCTAGAAAATTCTTGTGAACAACTACTGTCTGCAAAGTATTAAGCTAAGTCCTCAAGCAGATGCTGACAGGCACATTGGATTAATTCTCTGGGGACCGTGGATGCCTGCGCAGCATTTCAAAACAATTTATATGACAGGAGCTTATATGCACGTGCATGGGCTAGCACTGTTAAATCCCCTCAATTGTTTGTACATTACAAAGCAGAAACCCCTGTAGAAACCTACGTACATGCTCTCACAGAACTTTTTCTGTGTGCTGGGCCTGTCCTGGTTCCGACGGACGCGAAACCATCTCTGTATTTTCCGTACATCCCAGTCCAGCTGCTTGGAGAGTCCTTCCAGTTGCCTTTCATCTGAACTCTAAAGAGGACAAACATAAAATAACTCTCCACTCCTTGTAAAACCACAAAACCAATAGGTATGCCTGTCACATGACAATAGGTATTGACTGAACATATCATTATGACTGTGGCGGTGTGTTCCAGTGCAATAACATCATGTTGCTGCTGCAGTGTGTACAGGGACGTGTAATAGACTACAGAACAAACACGGGCTTTATGTACCGCTTTGGACTGATACAGCCTCTCCAGGATAGCATTGGGCTGAGCTTGCCGAGGCACTCCCGCCTGAATCTGAAGTATGTGGGCACAGGGCTTGGCCACTAGCCTGTATACACACAGACAGAGGGGCAAAAAGAAGAGGGTGGGGAAGCAGAAGTGTATGGTATTAGAAGAGAAATTCACACAGGGAGAGACTTAGAGAGAGTTGTTTAGTGTCTCCAAGAAAAGCAAAACAAAACAGAGGGTTATCCAACATTTGCTAGGAGATTCCACCATTTACATGAGCTGTGGAGCTTTCACAGTTTGCCCACAGAGTTACGCCTTGCATACATTTGTTTAAGACGAAGGAAGCATAACAGAAGCTATAGGGGGAGACACAAGGAAATGCTGAAATGAAGGGATCCTGAGGAATGTTGCACCTAGCCTAAACAAAGTTCGTCATGTGAGAGTATGGGACGCAGAGTATGGGAATGATACTCTGCCTACCAAAATGCTAATTTGTGTCACGGGATCATCTGGTTGACTCGACCGGTGTTTATTAAATTCATCACACATCAGCCTAAAAACACCCAACATATCTAGAACAGTTTTCACAACACGGAAAAAAGAAGAAAAAAAAACTCTGAATGAATAGCAGCACAGAGTAGACATGGCTGTCCCTGAATGCTCAATTTCAGACAGTTTCCATGAACCAAAACTAAGCTGAAAAACATGACTTTTAGTGCAGTCGTGAGGTTTGGACAGAGGAAAACCTTGTTTAAAAATCACATAACGTGCAATGCCATTCCCTTAAATGTAATTCTCTCATTCCAGAGTATGCCAGAGGAGTCATTTTAATATACCTCCTACGTAAAGACGTCCTTACCTGCACAGATTCTTTAATTAACCAGATTCTCTCATCGGAAATGTTACTTGAAAGATTGTAGTTAGCCAGCAAATCAGGTTTTTTTTTGCTCAGTTTGAAAATCCCGTTTGTCAAGGAGGGTGACTCATGTAAGGCTTCTCTAACTGGCTCAAATGTAATTGGGGCCATAAACTGCAGCTTCCAGGACTGAACAGTGACGCCAGTGCATGAGTGCTTTGAAAAACGGGCAAAGTTCATCAGAGTGCACCGCACAAAAACTCTAAAACTAAAGTGTCAAAAAATGCTTCACGAAGCAACGAGTAGCATCAGTGTGTGTACCTTCATCTTTTATATACAGTCTATGAATGAGATTGAAGGTATAATTAATATTAAGGTACCATACCAGCTCCAGCTCTTCAGCTTTGTTATGCAAAAGCAATAAACCAGATCTAGATTAGGAACCAGTACGAGGAGTGATTTGGTTGGAAAGGCGTATCTGTTTTGACTGCCTGGATCAGGACTGGAAGTAGTGACTCAGAATCACAGAGCTACTGAAGAGAACCACTGTTTATTGGCATAATATTGGTACAGAATAGTGTCCATCGCTAGACATTTTATTCAAACAGGAAAACAGGAAGTGAAAGAGCTAGTGAGCAAATCAGAAAGAATGTATGATCTGCATCCCCCTCCCTCCAAAAAAACAACAAAAAAAAAACTTGTTTCTGTTTCTCATCAGCAGTGTCATCACCTCACAACAATGCAAACACAGTAAAATATAAAACTGCCACAGAAGCCAATAAAAATTCTTGCATTCTTACGTATTCTTGTTTAAAAAAGAGATCTATAATTATCTGTCACAAGAAAAGCCACGTGACAGGATTTTTGTTAACATAGTAGGTCCACAGAGAGTTGCTAGTCTCCAGAGAGAGTGACTCATATATTAAAGTTCATGTAGCAACATTTGTATGGTGCCGTTTGGTGTAATCTTTTCTTTGTAAGTAAAAGTTCTCGAAGCCCAATCATACCGGTGCAGAACAAACTAGCGCTACACAGACACACAAAAATCTATTTTACCTTTCAAACAGCAGTCTCAGAAAGTAAACTACGGCAGCCAGAGGGAAGGCATACAGCATGTTCCAGAGTCTGGGGTACTCCACGCCAGGTGGTGGATGCTCCAAGTCCGCCCAAGTGACATTTTCAGGAAGCCAAAACCTTTCACTCCAAATCCAGGCTGAGATAAAGGAAGTCATCGGGGAGAAGCAAAACACAGCAGATCAGCAGCAGCAAATGAGGTAACTGAGAGAAAAAACTACCGTACATGTAGTAGTAGCTCAGGCTAGCTAAAGAAAAACTTAGCAGTCATTCCTCCCTCCTTCTTCCTATCCCTGCTGTTGTAATAGCAGAACTAAGTTATCTAAGCATCTCTTCTGGTTCACTCCTATGACTAAACTCCACAGACACGTAACAACTATGACTCTCCGAGGTAACACCCACCTCAATTATTATTCACAAAAGTGCTTCCACTGGTTCCGTGCTGCTCGCCGTAACGTCGTGCCTATTGTAGGAGGAGTCAAAGGCAGCTGACGCTAACACGGAGTCGGTTACGCCTCCAATTAGCGGCAAACGTTATTCATTAGCTAATGCTAGGTTAACCATTAAAACTAACTTACTTAGTAGGTTAAAACTAACTTACTAACAGTGGTTAAACGTTCTTACATGGTGGAGTGATTATGTTGGTAAGTTGTAGCAGTTAAAAGGGTTTTTAGCCACATTTAATGCCTCAATTTTAAGTAAACGGGGATAAATGATAGCCGTTTGTAATGCTATCTAAATAACCTAGCTAGAGAGAGAGATGTGCATGCATACACACACATACATATATATATAATTATATATATATATATATATATATATATATATATATATATATATATATATATATATATATATATACATATATATACATATATATATATATGTATATATGTATATATATATATACATATATATATATATATATATATATATATATATATATATATGTATGTGTGTGTGTGTGTATTTATGTATATATATATGTATGTATGTGTATATATGTATGTATATATATATATATATATATATATACATACACATATAAAGGTAAGGTAAGGTAAGGTAACTTACACCGCAAGTCTGAACTTAATGTTTGACATGCTGGTTGAAGTTGAGACATTGATCTAAGATGATGACAACATTTCTAGCAAATTCTTTTGGGTCATTTGTTAGTTTCTCAAGATGGGAAGTGACGCTGTTAGAAAGATGATGAGGACCAAAATGAGACCTACAACTGTTAGTTATCAGCATGGCCAAGGGATAACAAATCTACCCTAGTCAAAAACATATTTCGCCTTTTCCTGCATAAATGGATTAAGTTGGTGTTGCATTTGCTAACTAATTCTCAGTAAAACATTAAGCTTGCATTGATCTTGGAAACCTGTTGTATTATGTTGTTACTGGAACAAGGCTTGTACAGCCTCAAAGAAGAAGATGAGCTGATGTGTGAAAGATTAGTCAAATAAGGTCTTCGTACCCTGTCTGTGTTACTTTATGTTTAAATGGAAACAAACACCCTTCACCCTTTTATACCTCCCACTGTAACCCCTCCTATTTCTGTCTTGGGATTGTTTTGATTGTTTTTACCTCTCTCACCATAATTTTAAAGCCTACTGAAGAGGCTAACACACAGTCCAATAAAGTAAGAAATCACTATAAGATACATAAATTATCCCTAAAGATTATACATGTAAAATTACACCTTTAGAGTCCGGTGTATATCTAACCCTAAAAGCCAGTAATTGGTATAAAGTGAAAACCCAGTGAAATACAGGACAAAACAAGAGAGGAAGTGAATGCAAGAAACACACTCCTACGCTGGCAGTCCCTATTCACTGCCATCCTGTAGGTTTTTACATCAGTACCAACCAGCCAGAGAGCAGCTCAGCCCCCTGAACAAAACCTCTCTGTGTCAGTATGCAGCTGCAGCTTCCGAGATGCCCTACTTGGATACATGACCCAGTGTGGAGGGGCTGAGGACCTGAGCCACAAAAGAGGGGGGGATCAAATTTTTAAGGACGCCCATCTGACGCGTCTCTAGTGTAGCATTAGGATCATATTTAAGCTACTTTACTGTTTACTTTACCCTGTTTAATTTTTCCCCCTCACTGGCTTCAGCCCACCAATAGCAGGAAGGTCTGGTACAAAGTGTCTGTCATCACTGTCCACCCCCCTCAAGTTTGGACTGGTCCGTTTCGCATCTGAACAAACCTCATAGTTGGAGAAGAGTTCTTCATGTCAGGGACTGCTGTAGCCTCAGCACACTGATTACCGCAGCTCCTGGATAATCTAAGGTAATATTTTCCTGTTAAGTTTTATTCTTAACCCCTTCATTAATTATTTTACTGTAACATACTCCTAAAATCCTTCTTCCCTAGCAGCTCTCTGCACCTGTCTCTTCCAGTAGTATTTGTGTGTTCAAACATTTTTGTGTTTACAATTAAAAACATCTCAAATCTAACAGTGAGAAAAAGAACAAAAGATTTTGTCAGGTCTGTTTGGGGTCTTTTTAAGCAATATTAATTTCATTTAAAGCTTTCTTTCTTTATCTGTGCATGTGATATGTCTTGTTTGTTTTTTTTTGTTATGTTGTTATAGATAAGAAAATGGATGAGAAAGAGCTGAGTGATCCCTTGAATAACGTATCTGTGATTAAAGGTAAATATAGACACCACTGATTTGAAGTGAATGACTTTGCATTGTTTTGCTCCTCTAATGGCTCCTACCTGACACAGCACATCTCGCTAACTGAGTGTGGAAAGGGGGGTGGAAAACCCTGAGTCACACTTAAAATGAGTGTCTGGCCCTGTAAGGACAGCTGGATGGCTTTTAGAGCTTACAGTGCTGTAGATGGCCTTGTTTTAGAGGCTAGTGTCTCCTGTGTCAACAGCTTATTAGAAGATGGAGTCTCTTTGCACAGAGGGCATGTCAGCTGACTGATGTGTGTTAGCTATGACATTTAGGGTGACTAATAAGAATAGAATGCAAAGGACAGCGCAATGATGGCGCAATATAGCGAATATGAAAATCGACGGGGACATTCATAGGAAAAAGTGCAAGTACGTTGGTGACTGAATAAATTTTGCATGATGAATGAATTTGTAATGCTTCACTGCACAATATATAGGGAGCACAAAGCAAACAGTGTCCTCACAACAATAGTGTACCTCAGTAATTCAGAGAGATGAAGATATTTGAGATTCAGCTGCATAAAGAATATTTGTTAGCTGTAAAATGATCTCCCTTTATGATCAGCAGTTTAAAAGGAATACTGTAGACTTTCCGTGCGAGTGGTGCTAACCCCCTGATTCAGTTAAAGAATGCTGTCACATTCAATGAGAAGGAAACAGACAGCAGGCGAAGATGGGCCACGATGGGTCTAGCCTTCAGCACCGGAGCTAAAAAAAGACTTTCTCCTCAATTTTTTTCTTTCCTGTCGTCACTTGAGGCAGTGTGATGCTCAATATTCCCAACTAGTCTGCAAGGTATTTTTACACACAGACTAATTCCATTACTATGCTGTCAGGTGTCATTCTGTGACACTAAGACATTTTTGCCGTAATAACTAATCTCGCTAAAGATAACATGTTGCACCCTCATTTGAAATACCCTTTATTCCCTGTGCTGTCTTTGTAGAGCATTCATCTTTCACAGAAAGTGAATACAGATTGCATACTCACAGGGTGCCCACTCACTCGCATATGAAGGAACACACAATCACACTGTCCCCCCATGCTTTGTCTGGCACACAGCGGGGTGGTCATGTGCTCGAGTCAGAGGGTGTCACCAGCTCTCAGCCTTTGTTTCACACCGCTTCATTTTAGGGACACTTATCAATACCGCCTGCTAACATTTTTACAATCATGTGGATTTTCGTGTGATTATGTAGCCATGTTTGATGGATGTAGACACAGTTTTCACAATAAATATTGGATTTCAGGGCAGTTCAGGTTCTGGTGCGTCTCCATTTATGGTGCACATGCTTGACCTGTCCCCTGCCAAATGTTCGTTCTGGGATGAGGTCATCTCTTTTCCTAGCTGTGGTAGATTAGGGGCTCGAGATATTCACTAGGCATTTGCAAAGCACAAGTATTTGTGGAGCCTGTTTCCACCTCCAGGAAACACAACAGACCCTTGACAACGCTGGCAAGCCTATTACCTTTGTGCATTGTTTAGGTACTATTAATGAGTAATGTAGAATCGCTACAGACTCATATGTGACTGGGGTAATGGATAATTTGGAATGAAAAAAGTGTAGATAAGACACTTGTTTCTATTTCTGGGTTAGCAATTATTTTATGTAATAGGCCCATTTTGAATATCTTGGGAAATCATCTAGTATGTCAGTCCTGGTTAAATATTTGGGACTGCAGTAAAAGTAAAACTGTCAAACATTTCATTATTTTTGTAGTTTTATGGCAAATGTATGGAGCCTGTCCATGTTAAGATCATGATTCTTCTAACTGGGATCCCCATTTTTTTTCTTCTTCATTAGATGATCTGACCAAGGCAAAGATGGGCTCCTCTGGTGACTCTGAAAAAATCATTCAGCGCTTGACTGATGAACTTCGAGAGGCCAAGGACCTAGCTAACACAGAGAAACATAAATGCATGGAGCTACAAGGTGACACGCCACATCTCCAATGTTAAATAGGACCATCCACTCCATTTTCTATTGCATTCACACATGTGTGCATGCACCCAACACCAAATAAATGACATGACTTGTACAATTAAATGCTGTGTAGGTATCCTGGAGGAAGAGACAAAGGAGAAGAAAAAACAAGCTGATGATTCTGCCAAACAGATAAAACTTCTTGAAGGTACATCTATTTGTGGATTAGAAGCATATGCATAATATTAATCTTTTTTTAAAATTGACACTGTCTCTAATTCAAACACTGACTCCGGTTTGGACAGGTCAGCTGCGGCAGCTCCATGATGAGATGGCTGTTCTCAGAGAGCAGATAGACGTCTCCTCCAGCTCACACGATGAGCTACAAAGCGCACGTGATGAAGTGAAGTCGCTGAAACGTGCCCTGGAGGCAGCAGCTGCCGAGCGGGACCGTGACGTTGCTGCCGTCCAGTCTAACCTGGCGACTGTCTCCAATGATCTGGACAAATGGCGTCAAACGGCCAACAAGTACGAGCGTGAGATTGACAACCTGCAGCGTGACCTTCAGCAGCAGAGCAAGCAGTGGCAGAAAACTGCAGAAATACAAGGTACTACACGGTGCCCCTGGTAGTTATAAACGCATGAAATGGAGCATTTGCACTGAAAATAATTCTTACATGGAAATGAACTGTGTATTAATAAATCAAATAATATTACCATTCCTTGTCCAAGACATGAGGCCTACTCGCTCTCTATGTATTTTGTTTCTAACAAGCAGACTTCTCTTCATACTTGTACACTGGTGAATCAAAGTATAATTAAAAACATGTTTTTTGGTAGTTTTTGCTTTATCTGTAGGCAAATCAAGGACATACAATCTGTTAAAAAACAGCATTGTTACATAAACCTTGCTCGTTTCTTTTTACAGCCAGTGAACTTCAGTCCATGCAGGTGGAGTGTAATGGCCTTCACAAAGATTGTTCTGTTCTTCGATCTGAGAAACAGGATATCGTAAATAAGCACCAGAAGGAAAAAAGCAGTCTGCAGAGTGAATGTGCTTCCCTCAGGGCTGAGAATGAGGAACTCCTGAAGACTCACCAGAAAGACAAAAGCAACCTGCAGAGTGAATGTGCAGCACTGCGCACTGAGAAGGAGGCAGCCCTGCAGAAACAGCAGCAGCTGGAGAAGGACCTTGCCAGGTCGGTGCACTGATCTACATTACTGGGAGCTCTTACCCCCACCTTCGTGCTCCCTCTGTCTCATCTGTTTTAATCAGCACCCACGTGTTTTGATTTACACGATACTACATAATTTTTTTCTCTCATCTTTTACATATTGAACTCAGTTTTGTTTTGCTTCTGGTAGTTTGCGTGCCCAGAACACTGAGCTGAAAAATAGCCTTGGATCCCTTGAACAGACCTGGCAGGAGATGGAAAAGAGCCAGGTAGCCCTGCAGCTCCAGCACCAGCAGGATAGCACCACACTGCAAACCCAACTGGATGAGGCAGACAGCCGCAGCAAGGCTCTGCAAAGAGAGGTACGCCCCTCAAAAGTTGAGACATCAACCTTAGGTGTCCAGTATCTTAGTGGGTGTCATGCAGATGAATACTTCTATCTCAAATGTGAAAAGTGAACCCTCTCTGACCTGGATGGCTTTTAATACAGTCCTGCAACTGACAGGCCTTATAAGCACACACATGTTTTACTCATTAATGCTGTCCAAATTTGATTTGGACTTCAGTCCTGTTAGTTTTCACTTGAATTTTTGCATTTTAGTTTTTCTAGCTAAATGGTAGTGGTTCTGAATGTATATCTGTGGCAGAACTGATCCAGTTTAGAGGCTATTGGAAGACTGTAGCTGCTGCCAGTGTGCTGCTGACCGTGCTGCTTTAGAGGGCCAATGCTGACAAGCTGTTGCAGTATTTATGAAATTACTTTGGGACACTGTGGGAAAGGGGAGGTTTTGAAAGAAAGTCAAATTACACTCTTATTACAATAAATGGCAAGTTACCACAAAGCCTAGGAGAATTAGAAATACAAGGACAACGTATTATCAGGATAGTGGAATATAACTTTAGCAATATTACTTATTACATTTTAGATTTACATTTAACTTTTTTAGGCAATGTAAAGTCATAATTTCTGGAAAATTCCCAGTTCTCCCATTTTTTCAGTGATTTAAGTTTAAATATGAACACATCCTGGCTATGATAACACATTAGTCAAAACTTTTTATGTTGTTGCTTCGGTTTCATGGTCAAACTGCCATTTGACTAAAAATCAAGACTCAAGAACATGTACTTGTAATTGGTGCTCTGATATGACGCGCTTCTCAGTTTTGTGTGATTTAAAGTGAGCAAATTAAAATCACTTGATTTGTTTTTGGCATTATTAGCAGTTGCAATATCCAACAGAGTTACAAGAATCTGGTTTTTACTCAAATTATTAATGCAGGACAGTAAAATCAATGTGGAACTCAAATAACTTTGAGCAAACTAAGACTGAAGTGTCTTGAAGAAACCTTTTAATGCTTTCATTTTATTTAATCTCATGTAACATAATTTAAAGAAATTTGCTGTTAACAACCAATTTACAAAAGAAGTACTGCAAATTGTTGCCATTCAGGACATTTATAGCTGTATGAGACGGGCAGCTGTTCTCAAAGTCGTCTACTCAAGGTACTTTATTGTATTTCTTCTCATCATCTAAGATTGCGCAGAAATACCTCATGATGGGATGATGAGGACAACTGCACTATTTTAGAAAACTCACATTCTCCCATGACTAAAAGTGTCTCTGAGTGATCATTGCTGAGAATTTAGAGCTTTCTATTTTGAGACGATGTTGGCGTCATCTAGGTCAGAACAAAGTCACATCCACCACAGTTGAATGGTGAAGCCATCACGGAGCCTTAATGACTTTCTCTGAAGCCTTTAAGACACTTGTGTCAATAAATCTATGACTCTTACTGACATTATAAAGAAAGTCCATGCTTCTTCCCAAAAAAACAACAACAACGAAAAAAGATCCCACCCAGATAGTTCACAGGTTGCTGCGTGCTGTCCAGGGGCAATACCTACTCTAGGTTTGTATGGGGATCACTGGCTGCTGTCAGTTAATGAGGAGTGGCAGTGCTAAGTAGTAGAAAGCATAGTTGGGTCATCTTTGACACAATGAATGAATGAGGGGGGGAAGGAGGGAATAATGTTGTCCCTTATATAAGGACTGCACCTCACCCTAATTAGCTCATGTATAGAAAATTCAGCAGTTAAGCACTGCAGGAAAGACTGGTTTATCTTGTAAATGGCAACAGAAACTGTTCCTCAAAAGCATTACACAATACCATCAAACTAAAAACTTTAAATTAATCTAAACTGATGAGTGTATATTTGAATTAAATGTTTAATTTGCTTCGTGCAGTACGAGGAGGCTAGGACGGAGCTGTCAGACCTCAAGGAAAAATACGAGAAGGTTGAGCAGGAAAAACAATTGGTTACAGATGAACTCGAGGCATGCAGAGCCAACATGGAGGAACTGCAAGGAAAAGGGACAAAGGTGAGTACTCATCTATCAAACGCACAGCAAAAACAGGAAGGCATTTTACCCTAATATATGAATGGCATCGTGTATAATGATATATAACAGGTTTAAAAAATAATATATTGAGTGTGGAAACAATCATCTGCACTTTTATTTTCAGGGGCAATAACTTCTTTAGCAGTTTCTGTTTTGGGGGGGGGCATGGGCTTCATTTCCAATGTTCCCCTTTTGTTCAGCATCTGTTTGCGCAGCATCTCCAGATATAAAAGATGAATCTTATTGTAAGATTCACAAATATTATCTCTTTTTTTATTTTAGCACATATGCTCCCCTCTAGTCATCCAGTGTCTATTAGTGTTGCTTTTATGGGCCATTCACACATATGGATTCAAAAAGCTGTGCCAGACGGCTGCTATTTGGTAGCTAAGCTGAGGTGAGAGCACCATGCAACTGTATCACTTCCATTTCAGATAATGGACTTAAATGCCAGGCATACCTGACAGCTTAAATCTTCAGCAAATACAAAAAGGTGGGAAAAAAACTCAGCAAACTATGCTGTACAACAGGAGATAAACATGACCGTGTATAGTAACACTGATATGTAGGATGTCAACTCTGTACTAAACACAACACACACCGGACACACAACTACGGATTTATGAGGCCATAAAGGTCCAGCTCCTTTGTATCTGTATGTGTGAACTAACAATGACACACTGACAGCCGTGTGTGACTGAGATTTGTATAAATACTAGTTACAGGCGTAGAGAACTGACTGAGGGATCTAATAATAAACCAACCAAAGTATGTCCCATTGCAGTTGATTACTATAATATCCCTTCCCTTCTGTAGACATCCCTATTGCTGCCTGTTCAAGCCATAGTCATCGGCCTTATCCTGGCTTTGCTGTATTGGTGCTTCGGTGCATTGTGGTAGCAAGGTACACATTACTCCTGTCAAGTTGGCCTACATCTTTTCATCCTCATCAGTGTCTCTTAGACCATTGCATGATTTAATCAGGTTTTCCTCATTCCCGAGAATGCCTTCCTCAGGGGAAAATCCCCCAGGAAAAAAAAAAAATTCTTCAGAAATCTAACCTCTCTAATCATACAGCTTCAACATCTGACATCTGTTTGTCCTGCCTGGATGGCTAATGCTTAACAACTGTTTCTCACAGTTGGTGTTTGATAATGCTTATCTTTATCTGCAAGCGCTGTTTGTATTTGTGCACTGCCTTGATCTCAGTGGCTCCCTCTGTCAAAGCTTTGGTGATCCAAAATGGGTGCATGTTTATTCGCTGTTGCTCAACTTTCTATTTCTGTGTTGCCACTTATTCCAGAAACTGTGGATGATCTGGGGGCCTGTGGTTGCTGTGGCTCTGACAGCTGTGACTGCTGCCGTGCTCTTCAGGACCTGAGGGCGACTCATTCATGCATACACACGCACCCACCCACCCACCCACACACACACACAAGGGAATCCATATTTGTCTTCAGGTGTCAGAACTTGCCCTCCTTATCATATCTGCACTATTAACTCGGAGGGCTCATATTTAACTGTTTAATTTTTAAGATGCTCTATTTTAGATGGCAGAGAAGTTAATAAAAGAATGTGATTTTTGTGTGCAAAGTAAGTTTGTACGTCCGTTATTTACAGGAAGTCTAGTCAAGTTTACAGTTTTGATTGGGAATATGGATGAATGTAAAAAATAAATAAATATGCCACAAACTCAACTAATTATTAGTATTTATGATAATGTTTTAGGTGGATCACTTGAGCTCTAAATGTAGCACTTCTATGTAATTGTCATAATAATGGAGATTGTCACAATAACACCCCCTAATGGAGTGTGTAATGAAAGCCATAGATGGGTAACTGCATTAGTGATGGGAACTGCAAAGAGTTGGTGTAACTGTTATCTATGTGAAAATAGATAGCGTTTCAGACAGAATTGAGCTGAGCAGGAGTTTATCTTGTTTGTTTTTTCTCAACAGAGAACCATTAAAGAAAATTGCAGAAACATACATTTAGATCCATTTTCTTCATTTATGTGGCCGTTGTCTAGACTGCAGTTGTACTTATCTGTACTTATCTGTACTTATCTGTATTTAGTTTCTGCTTTGCTTTTTTCTGTTTTTGTTTGTTTGTTTTGTTTAACTTTTCATTTCAGTTTTATGATCATGAATGCTAAATTAACTTAAGGGGCAGGGTTGCTGAAATTATTGCATGCATGGGGAAACCTAAAATGTATAATTAAACACATAGAGTCATTTCATTAGGCACACCTGTTCACCTGCTCGCTAACACAGTTATATCATTAGCCAATCATGTGGCAGCAGCTCAGTGTGTTTAGGCAAGTAGGCATAGTTAAGATTACACGCTCAATTTCAAACCAAGCATATGAATGGCACAAAATGAGCTGCAGAGAAAATGCCTTGTTGAAGTCAGAGGGTAAGAGGGCAACCAGCTGTTACATCTAAGGTATGCAGAAGAACATCTTTGAATACACAACATGGTTAAAAAAAAAAAAAGAGAAAAAAAAAGGTAAATGGCCTGTATTTGTACAGCGCTTTACACATCCAGTCATCCACCCATTCACACACTGGTGATGGCAAGCTACATTGTAGCCACCCTGGGGCGCACTGACAGAGGCGAAGCTGCTGGACACTGGTGCCACTGGGCCCTCTGACCACCACAAGTAGGCAACAGGTGAAGTGTCTTGCCCAAGGACACAACGACCGACACTGTCCAAGCCAGGGCTCGAACCAGCAACCTTCCGATTACAAGGCGAACTCCCAACTCTTGAGCCACAATTGCCCATATCAAACTTTGAAAAAGAGGAAATGCTACTGTTAAGAAACAGTAAATTTGAGGTCATCCTGATCATTCCTGCAGTTGCACTAATGGGTGTGTGTTTGTTATTACAAATTGGAGTCTGTTGTATATTTATGATTTAAACCGCTCCAGCACCGTTAACATCTAAAGCATCCTCTAATCTCTCAATTCACATGGGTCCATCAAAACTGAACAGAAGAAAATTGGAAGAAGTCTATTCAGACATGAGGTCAGAATTGACATAACTAACGTGAATGGATGGATGGACAGAGATGAAAGCATCAATCCACCGTGTCTTGTACAAGTAGTTGAGATTGGTGGTAGTGGTGTAATAGCTCATTATTTAAACTACAAACTACCTGAATATTGTTGTTGGCCACCACTTGATTACCACACTGTACCCATCTTCTGATGGTTGCCTGTAGCAAGGTAACATGCCATGTCACAAAGCTCAGATCATGTCAAACTAGTTTCTTGAACATTGCGATGAGTTCACTGTACTCAATTTTGTACTCAAATATGGACCATAATCTCTGACTAATATTTACAGAACCTTGTTGAATCTATGCAACAGGGAATTCATTCTGAAGACAGTAGAGGGTGGCTTCTGTTTCTCCTAAATAACCATTATCTTCATCCATCCGTTCATTCATCCATTGTCTTCATGTAGACAAATTGCCGGAGGTCATATCTTTTCTGTAGCATTTTAGAATATTGATATCGCTCCTGTCATCCAGGAAGGGTTAAGTTTGGTCTCATATCTGCTGTTTTTCCCTCCCTTTTCTATCACACTATGTGTTGCAGTTGACATTTAAAGAAAATGGTTAATGCTGAGAGTAATGTTTTGTTAGGTAAAAGGTGTGTATCACCTGAAAAGCATGTGCTGTTGTAAAGTCAACATGTAGACAGGCATCAGCCTGCAATTTACCTTCTATTTGCATAGAGGCGTAGAGTGGCAGACGAGACTGATCAGCTTGAACGTCATCCTGTTTTTCAACAAGCAAAGCAAAAGCTGGTATCAATGTGGGAATTAAGACAAAAATCCTTGTACATAGGTCATCTCATTTATAACTAGTCCTGCATTGTATAGGCTGTCATGATCATAGGATTAAATGGATTAGACAATCCTGGAAAACAGGACAAACTATGCCTGATTCTCCCAGAGCTAATAGATTTCACTTTTTTCACTTCTTTTTTTGAAAAACATTTTTGTTTTTGTTTGTTTTTTTCTTTTAAATTAGAGTTTCAGCTTATTCGCCACTTTTTGGCAAAATATACCTGGTGATGTCAACAGGATTATCTCTGCTTCAACTGAACACTACATAGCTGCAACACAGGTTGTGTCATAAACTGTATTTAAAGGGTTAATCCTTTACGGCTAAGGGCATTTCCAAACATATAATCAGTTTGCTCTGATATGAATCAGATGCAGAGTGGGGGAACTTGTTGTATTTCTCATCAGTTTCATTTCCTTTGAAAGAGGGAGGGGGAAATGTAAGCCAAAGTACATGTAAGAAAACCGCGGGAGAACATTCACTCTGCTCTTTAGTTAGATGTGTCTATCGTAGAAATGATAAACACAGAAGGCTCAAATGAAGGTGTGATGCTAGTCCAGGTGAGACCATTGATTCTGTTGAGTTTAATTCCTCCACATCCTAGAATGCAAAGTTGGAGCACATCAGGGTTAAACAAGGTTGCCACCACAAACAAACTGTTCCAGAAATTGTGACCAGATGGACCCTCAGCATCAGAGTACAGACCTTGCAGTCTCTGCTGCTTTGATTTTGACTTTTTCTTTTTTTTCCCCCTCCAACTTTATTGAATTGTATCATGGAAGCGTGACACAAAACCATACAAGCAGAAAATGTACGCAAAAGATACTCTTCTAAAATAGTCAGACAACCCCATTAGTTATTTTCTTCCAATGAATAATTTTACGATTTCTAGTAGTTGTTTATTTTCCATGAAGAAATGTTACTGATCACTTCTGAACTGAGGCTCAAATGAAGGGATTCTTGGTCTTTTAAGCTCCTTCACTAATCGATCCATGCCTGTGTGGTTGTCTTTCTGCTGGGAGACAAACACTCACTGCAGCAACTCCCTTAAAGCAACCCAAACACTCACAGTTACTCTTTAAGGATGAGGCCGAGTGTTTCTCAACACGATCCTATTGGCAAATTTAAAATTTCACAATGAGGTCGTTGTTCCCAGCAAAACAGCTGACCTGTGTGAATGTGTCATCGTGACACGTTTTTGTGTCGCTACATTGCTTTTCATTTTTTTTGTTCTGCCAGCTTTGCTCCACCAAGTATTCCTCTCAGGACATAATACGACGGCTAACGTGATGTAGTCAAAGCGAGCAGACTGGGAGCATCCCCTCCATCCTATATACACTCAAATATGAGAATCATTCCCATGCAAGGCGAGCCCCTCTGCAGCATTGCCGTGTCCATTTGTTCTGCTCTACTTTGCATGTAGGTCATCTGTAGTGGACCAGAGATGCAGCAGAGTGGCATCTGTGAACTTCAGCCTTTTTACTCTGTAATCCTTGTTTTGTATTGGGTTCAGTTTAAATTTTGACATCGTTTGTGAATAACCACAATGATTAAACCAGTTTACTAAAATCACAGTATAATGAACAGCTCGGGCGTTTTTAGCAGATCTCAGAAGCTGAACGTCACTTTCCCAACAGCAGTTATCAGCTGTTTATTTAACAGTTGTCAGTACTGTGTGCTTTACAGACCTTTAGACTCTGATTGGACTGATGCACACAAGGTGATAAACAGAAAAACACTGCTGATTAATTCTAAATCAGAATCACACCCAGTGTTACTTTGCAAAGTTTAGTTGAGCAGATTTAATCTAGTTGAAAATAACTGGAAAATGTAGTTTTAATTTTTAGGGTTATGATTTATTTTTCTGCTTCATGTTTTTATCTGTATATATTTTTGACACATCTCTATGCATTGGATAAATATAGAAAAATAAATATAGAAATGTACACAGCACTGGGGGAAGTCTGATGAGTCAGCATCAATGCAGTAGGGCAGCATGTCTGCAAAGATGTGATATTCTGTCGCTCACATCTGCAAATGAAATCTGTATCCAATTCCCTAAAAGCCTCAATCCCCACTGAACTGGAAGTGACGACATCTTAAAGTTAGGTCCTCACGACACCCTGTGCAAAGGACCCTTGAAACTTTACCACACACTGCAGGAAACAGTCTGCCTCTATAATGACACCCAGTGGTTAGTTTTAGCCTTAAGCTTCAGCTTGTAATTTGATGTGGCTGTTTGGACTGGCCTTCCTCAGCCTCCACTCTCAGACTAACCGTGTCAGTAAAAAATAGTGAGTGCCACTGCATCTGACCAAACGAGGCACCTTTTATGAAAGTGCACATTTATTTCTGGGATTCGTCCCAGATGGAAGTAAGACAGGTCTGTCATACACACTAAAAAAATTTTTTTTCAGTATTTAAAGTCTGATTCAGAACCCCAATTTATCTTGTCTGCACAAAGCTTGGCCTGTGTTCACTTTAAATGATCGACCCAATGATGGAGTGGCCTATTTTACCCCGACGATGAGAATCAATGAGTTTATTCAGAGCAGGCATAATCTGAAACGAATAACTGCCCTCTGCAACAGGCGCTTTTCATTTTAGAAATATTAGTTAACCACTGATACTTTCTGCACATAAAAATAGCAGAAATAAATGTTGTAGAGTGTGCATGCTGTGCACCTATTTAACAAAATCACTTTTGATGCTCCCGCCTGAGATAGAAGAAAGGAGGGGAAATCATCTCAAAGGTAAGTTTTTACAGTTTTTTTTAGCATGTGTGTTTTGTTATAGAAGCGCGCTTTAGTTATTGTACAACTTGTATCATGTTATTTTGTGCACATGCACATCCTAAAGACATCCCTTTATTTATAGTCTTAACTAAATATGGAAATTATGTGGAATTTATTTAACAGATTTCTCCCCAGAAGGACAATGCGTGAGTTTGTGTTCATTTATTTTCAGTTGAGCCATGGCAGCTGATCTGGATGTGGTGAACCTGTGTATTATTGCTGGAGGAACACTGGCTATTCCCATCCTGGCCTTTCTGGCTTCCTTTCTTCTCTGGCCCTCTGCATTAATTAAAGTGTATTACTGGTAATGTAGATGACTTTCTTGTGCTGTGCTTCAAT